GAGGCGCTGAAGAGCGCTAAACACCCTGCTGCGGCTTGAGCTATGTCGTGGCTTGAGCTGTGTCCCATCTCCTGGGTGGGTGGGGAGGGGGAGGAAGGGAGGCTCTTACTAGAAAAGGCTGTTCAGAAATATCTGGGCCCAAAAGGGGTGCAGGAGCATCCGCAGGATGTTCACACCCACTTCGTTATTAAAAATCTTCCTCTAAAATATTTTAAGACCCAAATTGGAAGTCAGTGAGTTAAGTGGGCATGAAGCTGCATGGGGCCTTGGAATGTCTGGATATGCTGAGCGGCGGTCAGCAGGAGGGCTTTCTGCTAACTGTGTCCTTGTTACTGCTTGTGAGATAGGGTACATGGCTCTGGCTTCTTCTGGAAGAGAAGCTTGGAGGCTCTTTCTGGGGTCGGTGATGAGATTCCTAAACCACAGAAGACATGATGGATTTCCATGTAGGCCTCTTCATTGGGTAGTGAGAGAACTCTGTGTCTCAATCAATGGAGTGTCTGAGGAATGCCTGGTATATGAACCACGTTTTTCATTAAAGAAAAATGGAACTAAATGTATTTATATGTGTGTGTACAAAAGTGAATGCTACAGCTTGTGTTTGTGTGTGTGTGTGTGTGGAGCTCAGAGACAACTTTGGGGAGCTGGTTCTTTTTTCCCCTTGTTTTTTTTTTAAAATATTTATTTATTTATTATGTATACAATATTCTGTCTGTGTGTCTGCCTGCAGGCCAGAAGAGGGCATCAGATCTCATTCAGATGGTTGTGAGCCACCATGTGGTTGCTGGGAATTGAACTCAGGACCTTTGAAAGAGCAGGCAATGCTCTTAACCGCTGAGCCATCTTTCCAGTCCCCCTTGGTTTTTTGAGACAGGATTTCTCTGTATAGCTTTGGAGCCTGTTCTGGAACTCACTCTGTAGACCAGGATGGCTTCAAACTCACAGAGGTCTGTCTGCCTCTGCCTCCTGAGCACTAGGATTAGAGGCGTGCGGCACCACTGCCCGAGATGGAGTTGGTTCTTTCTCTCTGCTGTGCCGTGTGGGTCCCAAGGACGAAACTCAAGTGTCAGGCTTGGTGGTAAGCATCTTTACACACTGAACCATTTTGCTGGCCCTCATTCTGCCCTTACCTTACCAATAATTTATTGGACTCCTAGTAAACGCTCAACACCAAAGGGCAGATTCAGTGTGGTGCTAGTGGAAGGGAGAGAAGAGAGTATATGCGCTGTCATTAATTAAAGTCTACATACTTTTCACATAAATTCTCTGATCACAACCTTATGAACAGAAACTGGCCTACTTTTTTGCAGATAATAACATTAAAACCTGAAAGTTTAAGTGATTTTTTTTCCCCCAAAGTCACACAAGTAACCTGCTTGAGAACAGGATATGTGGTAGGCATTTGGTTAACCATGGAGTGCATCTCTCTCTCTCTCTCTGGGACATAGAGATGGGTCAATGGTTCAGAGCACTGGCTACTGTTCCAAAGGATCCAAATTCAATTCCCAGCTCCCACAACCATCTGGAACTCCAGTTCCAGGGAACCCAAAGCCCTCTTCTGGTCTCTAAGGGCACAAACACACATAAAGGCAAAACACCAATATGTATTAAATTAAAAAACAAACCCAAACAAACAAATCCCTCAAACCCAGCAGGGAGCAGCAGGAGCCAAGGCTAAAAAGCTGACATCTTTCTCCTCCCATCTGCTCCCCCCCTTTCCTGCCCGCTCCCCCAAACCCCGAGTCTCCTTCCTCCAGACACCCTCTTCAGAGCCTTCCTGGGACAGGGCCTCTTTATTACTAGGTAGCCCTGCCTGCCCTGGAACTCAAAATGTAGACCAGGCTAGCCTTAAACTCACAGACATTTGCTTGTTTCTGCTTCCCGAGTGCTGGGATTAAGAGAGCAGGTCATCACACTCGGTACAGGATTTCTTTAATGAAGGACTATGGATTTAGCTATGGACTATCCAGGGCCTAACATGCACACGGCCCTGGATTTGATCCTTAGTGTCGTAAGTTTTATTTAGAGAGGGGCAAACCAGTTGAACCTGGGGGTGGAGACAAAAGAACTGGTAGTTGGAACGTTTGCTGTTTAAGCGGAGCAAGTAATTAAAGCTAAGACGGAGTTCTGTGTGGATTCGTGTGCAGCTTTGCAACATCAGGCCCGCTGTGTTTAGAACGGGAGTGTCTATGGTGGGAGAAATGACTCCCTCGTGGTACAGGTGAGGAAACCAGCCCAGGTAAGCTGAGGTGAATCGCTGTGCCATACATTTCTCAGGGAAAACAGATGTGTGCCGGTTTCTAGCAGAGGCTTCTCATTCCCAGCAAAGGTGGAGTTCCCAGACATCTTTTTCTTGGACTAAACTCCATCTAGCTTATTCTGGTCTCTTGTTCTAAGTATGAGGGGTAAGCTGGCTCCAGCAAAGGAAGCCAGCTGGGGCTGACGTGGGAAGGGTATGAGAGACAATTCCAGAGAGCACCGAATGGCCGAGCTTTTGGATGATTCTGGGATCTCCTACCTGTATGAACTGGGTTGTTTGTGTTTTTTAGAGACAAACAAATAGGATGGGAGGTCTTGTGAGGTTCTTTCCTGTCTAAGGGCCCTGATTGAGTTAGGTAATAGAATCAAGGCAAATCCAATCCCAGATGCTCCCCAAAACCCATGTTAAACCGGAAGGCGGCTTCGGAAAGGAACGTTGCTTGTACTACTATTACCTCCCATTTCCTCCTCTGATTCGCAGGGACTAGCAACACGAGGGAGGGAGGCACCTGGTACAGCTTAGGGGACAGAAATACTAATGGACTTGGAACCTTCCGGAAGAGTGGAGAAAGAAGCCGACAGAATGAAGGCAGCCAGGCATTTTCAACCGAATTAAACTCTGACGCATTAGCATGTAGACGTGGAGGAGGGGGACCAGAGGTTGACTTTAAACGACCAGTCTAAGGTTCTTAGGCATCTCATAGAAATACCACAGCCATGGTAACCGCACACCATGCTATATTGCGGGACAGGTCACTGCACAGCCCCTTAGATCTAACTGGAGGAACGGGACCCCCAGTGAGAAGCCATTAACAAAGGCAAAAGACATGTAAAACAAACAAAATAATCATGACGGAGAGAGAAGGCCAGCCAGCCGCCAGCCTGGCTCTGCGCTCCCCCTCCTGCTGCAGGCACCTCCAGACAATGTAAACAGTTAATTTGTTCACCTGCAGGCTCTGGGCAAACAGAGGCCTGGTCACACCTGAGTGGATAACTCGATTACCCTGTAATGCCAGCACGGTAATGTACACAAATTCTATTACACGGCAAACCTTGCTTTCGGGCATTTGAAATACCAATCAGGCCAATGTCCACTCCCTTCTTTCCTTTCAATTTATTCTTGGTGTATTGGAGCTGCACCGAAATTGTAGTAGGGTGGTGCTGAGTTAGGGTGGCCGGAGAAGTCACGAGAACATTGTGACCTCCCCCAGCAGGACCTGCAAAGCTCTTACCTTTCTGCAAAGGGCTAAGTCTGAATTTAGTTCCTCCTCCCTCTTCAGACAGGGCTTCTCTTGTAACAGCCTTGGCTGTCCTGGAACTTGCTCTATAGACCAGGCTGGCCTCAAACTCATAGAGATCCACCTGTCTCTGCCTCTTGAGTCCTGGGATTAAAGGTGTGCACCATCACTGCCTGGCCAGTTCTTGTTTAAAGGGATCTGATTCATTGGAATCACCGGAAGATAACTGGAGTCAGACTTGGTCTACTTTTTTTTTTTTTAAATCACAATTTATATTTATTTATTGTGTATGCCACAGTGCCCCTGTGGAGGTCAGAGGACAACTTTTGGGAGTCAGTTCTCTCCTTCGTTCGTATCTCTGGGATTGAACTCAGGTCTCTGGCCTTGGCCGCAAGCGCCTTTACCCACCGAGCCATTTTGCCCACCCCTTGGTTTGTTCAAAAGGAACTTATAGCATATTAAAAGCACAAACAGACCCTTGGTGTAAGTAATACCAGTCACAGAACAAAGAGAAACAGCAAACACGGTATTAATAACACAATAGGTTTTCATATTTCTTCCATGGAGTCCATATACTCAGCAATTAAAGAGCAAATTATGCCTACTTCAAAACCGTGTTCGTAGATACGGAGGGGATATATAGACTCCTTCATGATACATTCTCTTAGGAGCAGAACATGTCGTCTTAGTCTGGTTATATAACATTTGTGGTCTTTTTTGTTTGCATTTTACAAGAATGGAGAGGAACAGTTCCCTCGAACTGTAGCCGACGACACCAGAAGATTCTCCTCATTAAGACAGACAGGCAATCATCCAATCCATCCCTTTAAAACAAAGCCCTGTTGCTTTATGACCAACAACAGTATGCATTAGCTGTGTCTAGGGGTTAACTTATGCCTAAGGAAGAGAATAAAGTTAGCTGGCTGTGTGGGATTGGATTCTGTAGGTTGGTCTTATCAGCGCTGGCTCAAACCAATTGAGCTAACTGGTTCTGACTCCTCCTCCCACAGGTAATTATATTATCATCTCATTTATCTATAAATGAAATAAGAAGGTAGTTTACCTAGCCAGAATGTTTTCAATAGTATTACAAAGTAATAAATTATGTACATAGTGTGACCTTTATGTATCTATCATAAATCCTTGGAAAACATCAAATTTTGATTGCCATAATTTTAGTATTGTACCTACTTCATTTTATATATATATATACATATATATACGCTTTATTGTATTTTTACATGTGAAAAATGATTCCTGAGCCTAAATTTTTAATTAAAAAATTTCCCTAACAATTATACATTAAAAGGAATTTTGGTCAGCCTAAATTTTTAATTAAAAAATTTCCCTAACAATTATACATTAAAAGGAATTTTGGTCAGAAGAGCCATGTACTGTACAGAGAGAGATGCTACAGCATGTGATGATTCTGATTATGGTAACTACACTAACAAGAGGGAAAACGTGGACTTTGGACTCAGGTCCCACAGTCCATGTCTTTACCTTGCTCAGAATGCGGATGAGGTCACCTCGTTGGAAGGACAGTTCATCCGGCTGGTCACCATGGCAATCCCATAGGCCCTGGTAATAATTGGCACAGTCCACTGATCAAAGAGAAGAAAAAACAAAGATGAAAGGAGCCAGTTTTGCCACAAGTGGAAGCCAGGGTTTCGATATAGTCTCTGGGGAACTTAAGATTTGGGGGGCCCCAGATGACACTCAATCTAAGCAAAGGACTATGGGAGGAGGAGCTCACTAACTCACATAAAATATTTAGAGATCACCCCTAGTAGGAAATTCTACTCAGCAATATGGTAATAGATGTATTTATTAACAGAAGGAAATCAGGCACATAATATCCCAGTTAGTTTGCAAACAAGTGGAACAAAGGTGTTTCCCAGTAGACTTTCTTGACCTGGGCTATCTAAATATCTGAGTATGTCTCTTTTTTTATGCATTTGAAGGGACAGATCCTTCTGCCTAGCTACAGGAGAGGCTGAGTCAGCCGGCATTCTTCTGCATCATGGCTCCCATTTTGGCCTCCTCTGTTACATGGGAGCTTTAGCCCAGGCACTTCCCACCCAGGTACTTCATGAGGTAGTCACCAATAAATACTGAAACGAATAGCCCAGGCTTTAAGTGGAGCCATGGGGGTGTCTCATCCATTACAACTAAATTCTGGGTGGGCTGGCCCTTTTCCAGCATCTCATTTGTAGACCCTGAACATGTCTGCCAAGATTTATCTGCAAGCCCCCGGGGAACAGAGACCAAAGTGATCTGCATTAAAAATGAAAGCAACTGAAGACAACAAACCAAGCTTTAGAAAGCACGGGAGAGATTTACTGGGCTTCTCAGTGAGACTAGATGGCAATGATGCCACAGGACAGCCATCGATTCTTAACAATGAAGAATTCATATTGATCCTCTCCTACCCGGAAAGGTTAAACACTAGCGTACAAAGTGGGAGACCATCTGGGGGTTTGAATGGCAGGAGAGCTAATGCCCACTGGACCACGGATACTCTGTGTGTCTTAGACTGTTTCATACGAGAGCCGTGAGCCTGGCACCTGCCAAAGGTGAAATTTGATTGACAGGATCCAGGAGCCCTGTGATGTAGTTAAAATCTCAGTGAGTTTTAGCTGGTACATGTCCGTAATCCCAGCACTTGGGAGGCTAACGTAGGAGGATCACAAATTCCAAGTCAGTCTGGGGTTACATTCTGAGACTCCGTCTTGAAAAGCAAAATGAAAAAAATTTGTGTGACCTTTTGGGGACCGTGTTTCATCAATTCCTACATACTCTAAATCTGTTTGAACCCTCTCAGAAGCACGGATGGTTCTAAGGCCGTTCATGATGGGAACAGATGGGGAACAAATGGTCAGTGGGACACAGAGGACCTGGCTGTACTTGCACCCCCCCAACAATTTGTCCCTAACTTATGAATAATTCAAATAACAGAGGCACAGTGGAACGAATCCCTATATGTCTTTGTAAACGACTCTTATTAGGCATCTTAAAGTGCACAAAAACAGACGAGAGGCTGACTCATTTAGGTGAGAGCAGATTGCAAACAGAAAGGAAAATGTCAACCACAGAGACTGGGGCGTGTTTTCTTTACACGGAGAATTGTTTGTCTCCGCAGCAGACAACAGAGGGCAGCAAACGAAATAACCGCCAAGCAAACCTCCTGCTATCGACTTAAGAAGATGTTGGGAAGAAAAATACGTTGGGAGAAAAATGCTAACTGTTGAAAAGAGAAAGCATATATTTTTGGGGACATTGGTGCATGAAATGATAGAGAAATATCAACCTTGAAAAGCGACGACAGTTTCCCCAGAGGATATGCCACACACTCTCAGTTGTAAGGGAGTATATCAATCACCCCGAGAGTTTGACTGTGTCGAGGATGAGAAGCCAATTGACATCAATATTCTTTGTGGATTTGTAGATGGCAGAGATTTTTTTTTAAGAACAGATTTTAAAAAACCCAGTTTAGCTATGTATGAAGGGGAAGACGTACAGAGCTTTCGTGGCATTTTCTGGCCTAGTGCGTAGACACTTTGAGTTTCTGCTCCCTCAGTGTACTTGGGTATGAGACAGACCCTAAGGTACCTTTTGGGTATGTATGAGATTCCTACCAAGATTTGATAGTGGTACAAGAAAATACCTGGGGAATGACCTAAACTACAAACACAGTAAAAAGCAGGTATACTCGTTCATATCTATAATCCCAGAAATCAGAAGGCCGAGGCAGGAGAATGGCTTCGAGTGTGCGGCCAGTTTGGGCTACAAGATGAGTTCAAGACTAGCCTGGGCTATATAGTGAGAGAAATTCTGTCTCAAAACACAGGGAGCTGGAACTCAGGGAGATAGGGAGTCAGATTCAATCAGCTATATAGGGAATACTATGAGACTTCTAAGACGCAAAGAATATAGAAGGGCCATTGACATTCAGGAACCCAGGGCACAGCCTAGCTCACGATGAAGGACCATGACACACAGCTCTGAAAAGTTAATCAGAACGACCGGGCTAAAACCGGGGAACATATTCAACCTGCTTTCTAGACAAAGGTATGCTGGTAGTAAGGAGGTCAATGGGGGAGTCATTCTTTAGTTGGATGAGGTTGGACCCTGTATTGCAAGATCCTTGTTTAACTTGTGTGATTCATATTTATGCATTTGTGTACAGGCTACTTCACGAACTCATTCCTTGGCATCCATCAGGCCTGCACACAGCACTTAACTAAATGCCAGGGACGTGGTACACACTGGGAATTCTGCAGTAGTCATGTGCAGTCCCTGCTCTCAAGGCTACCCTCTAGTGGGGGAGGTGCTGTGGACCAGAGTCCTGAAGAGGTGGAGGATGCTCTGCTTAAGAGGGAACTTAGTGGAATCTGAGGGATCCCAGAAGTCTCCTTGGCAGCTCCAGCTGTCTGCAAAATCCTGACCTCCCCAGGGTTACCAAAACACCTTGAAGTTGGGAGGAGGTGAGGCTGAGCAAGATTTCATTCCCGAAGCTTGGCCCACGAAGGGCCTGCCGGTCTGCAAGTCCACAGGGTGGGTTCACTCTGTCCCGAACCAGGCTGGCTCGTCCTCAGAGGAGAACGAGAGCAGATACAGGTTTCTATAATGAAAGGAGTTAGGAGCCTGACAGCAAGGATTGCCTCTGTGCACTGGCTTTGGCTCAGTTAGGTTCTCACCACGCTGGCAACAGCCTGAGTCAGAAACAGTGCAATCTCCTGACCAGTTAATTAATTCAAAACATCCTCATTCTCATTTTGAGGACATTATTCCATCTAATTATTTTTTTCCAGTCTGTCCATTTGGAATGAAAAACAAAAGAATAAAGCTTAATGCCAGCATTTCTCAATGTCTCTCAAAAAAAAAAAAAAGACATAACTCTGCACTAAATAAAGCCTGGTAATTCAAAAGCAAAAGCTCTAATATATTCAGCATAAAACAGACAGAGGACCTAGAGCAATAATGACAACACTAATAACTAAAACAGTTATAACAATTAACAACAATTACAATGATAGGGAAGCTAATGGCTATGATCACTGCATTTAAATTGCTAGCAGAGCTGAGAAGGAGTTTTTCTAGAGAAAATGGGGGTGGGGCTGGGAGTATCTTACTCTTTCCAGTCTCTTGTAGGGGAGGCTAAGCCTCCAGCTAGCAGAGTTATCACAAAGAGCTGAAATAGGATAGTTTTTCTCTTTTCCAGGTGTTCTTACAAATCGTTTATCACTCCACACCAGGCTTTCTGTGACCGGTGATGGGCGTTTCTCCCCTGATAGAGTCCAGGCTGGTGCTCCTGGTGGCAGAGTCAAGGGAAGCACCTAGGCAAAGGACCAGGACATCTGTCTAGTTTTCCTTGTCTTTGGGAACAACAGAAGCTGTCTGCCCTCCCTGAGTTTAGCTGTTAGGACGCTGGGTAACTTCAGAGTTCAAGCTGAGACCAGGGAAAAGAGGCTAAAGGCGGCTCAGTGTGCTGTTTACATTTTCTTGATGAATGTAACGTGTCAGCAAGGCCGGGCACCAGGCACAGCTGTTTAAATTGGGAACAGCAGAGACAAAAGCTTGAAAACAAACCTACGAGAGTAGGGACCAGTGAGGGCTGGGCCAAAGGCTCTGTAAACGGTGTCCTGAAATGCTCTGGTCTCAGCCAAGTCAGGAGGGCTGCCATCTTTAGCACACTCAAAGCAGACTCCCGCTGCTGCTTTAGTAACAGTTTCGGAAGTCTGGAAAAACTCGCCAGGAGCCACTCACTACGCCCCTTAGTTTTTCAAGTGTGACTTATGTATGGGGAACAATCAAAGGTTCTAGTTCCCACCTCATCTGTTCCTTTAATCGGGTCAAAACTTTAGCTGGGCGATGCTCAACTCATGGTTGGTTTTGGGAAACCGAAAGGTAAGAGCTGCAGGAGCCGGTGGGCCCTTCCTTTTCTTTGGTGTAAGAGCTCTCTGTCGGCGGGCACCACAGTGGGCCTTCAGAGGGTCTCCAGGATGGAAAACCCATGAATAATCACTCTTCTGCTCTTCTGAGATGACTGGGTGCTTCTAAGACCATGCCTGGCGTACCCACAATTGTTGAGGGATAGAGACAGACACAGAGACAGAGAGACAGAGCCAGATACAGAGAGAGAAACAGATAGACAGAGACAGAAGAAACAGAGAGAGACAGGGAGACAGAGAGAGACACAGAGAGAGGAGAGCCCATTGCAAGGTCTTCTTTGGGCAGGGATTTGATGGCTCTAAGAGTGACTTGTGTCTCCATAGGATGGCACAGCCAAGCAAAGGAAAATTTTATACAAACAGGCCAGAATGAGTCTTGCTTTGAGTTACCTTGTCTCAGCAAGGCAGGGAAATATGATCTCAGCGCTAAAGACCATTAGCGTTAGATCCACTATGGGACTGCCAGGCTGGAATTGAGAGAAAATCGGAGGTGTTGAAGAGTCAGTCAGTAAAGTAACCCTGTTACTAACACTCATGCTGTAGAGTGAGCTCTTTATAGATTGGGCAATCAATACTACAAGGCCATGATAGATTTTCCAGGTAACGGAATAAAATGAAAGAAATTGCATCTTACAGGGTCATTAACACTCAATCAGGAGACACTGAATTCCTGTCCTCCCTCCCTCTTCGGATAAGATCTAGAGCTGGGCTTTAAAAACGTTAGCGGTTCTGTTAGAGGAAGCATGGCAGCAAGCAACAGGGTCTGTGGGGTAGAGGAGAAAAGGCCTCAGATGCCAGATGCCCCAGCCCCTGAGGCAGAAAGACAGGAGAACAGGCCAACTTGCTTAAAGCCTTTCCCTCCCAGATACCTGAGAAAAACTAAAAGAAGCAAAGGTACATAGCTGATCTATGACCTACCTAAGAATTTACTCCGTCCCAGCCTTTAAATGCCTTCATAGAGGCTGCTGGCCCTTCCCCCAGATCTCTATATTTTGTTGCTATAAAACTAAAAGATGACACTGGGAAGTTACATATGTGTTGCAGGTTCTACAGCTTCTTCGGAGAGAAGGCACTATATAAATTCAATAAATAAATAAGTAAACACAAATAATAAAAATCCCTGCCTCGGATTCTGCAGAGAGAGCGAAAAGTCTTCCTGTTTCTAATCGCCAAGTCACCAATCATCATAACTGGTGGGAAGCACAGGCCGCGGAAACGTATTTAGAGCTAAGCCTTATGTTAACGACACCTATTTGGGAGGCAGGAAGTATGGGGAACAAAAGACCTCTTTAAAAAAAATTCCTACTTGAATTATACCTGTTGGGTTAGTTAAAAAATAAATCTCCTCTCACCTCCCAGATAAAACCTGAGGGAAGAGAGAGAGAGAGAGAGAGAGAGAGAGAGAGAGAGAGAGAGAGAGAACAGAAGGAGAAAGTGAGAGGAGGGAGGAGTGTGGGAAGGGAATCGTAGACGTTTTCAGGAGACTGATACTTCCTGACTGGAGTTAATACAGTGTTGGCCATAGGAAGCTTCCAGCTATCCCACCCAAGGCATCCATCTAGAGTGTATCTTCCTATGGTGCTTGATGATGGAAATTGGTTGAGAAAAGCCTTATTTGGGACCTGCTTGGTCAGAATGGATTTTCTGTTAGAATTCCATATAGCAAGTAGAAAATGACAGAAATTAGGTTTCAGGGCTGGAGAGACAGATAGCTCAGTTGTTAGGGCTAAGGATCACAACCAAACTTCAAAAATTAGGTCTCAGAGGACTTAATTCCTCGTGCCTGAAGCTCCCTAATCTCCTCGAAGCTTCTGCATCCCACATGCTTTCGCCTCTGCTTCGGTAGCACAACCTGTAGCCACTGACTGGGCCCCCTTCCCTGAGAGAAGGTGGGTCTGTGAACCGGAGTCCTTCACTAAACCTTGCATAGTCACTTCCTGCAGGGGTGGGGAAGACGGCTCAGTGGGGGAAGGCACGTGTCCAGCAAGCAGGAATATGTAGGTTTTAATCCCCAGAGTCCAAGATGGGAGATAAGATTCTTTAGTTATGGTCGTGGGTCAGCAGGCCAGGCAACCAGCATAGTGGCAAAACAACAAAGGTATCCTGCCCCTGTCAAACAAGGTGGAGGGGCAGGCCCAAGACCAATACTGGAAGTTGTCCTCTGACCTACGCACGCACGCACGCACGCACGCACGCACGCACACACACGAATTCATTTCCCCCAAGGATGGAGAAGGGAAATGAATGAGAAGAAGGGGTGTCAAGAGAAAAATGAGAAATGGGGCAAGAGAAACCAAGCGGGAGCAGGAAGGGAACCAAAGAAAGAACTCCCAAGCTTAAGATTTTCATAGATCCTACGAGGGTAGGAAATCTGCTGGTCTCCAAATCACTTCTGAATCCAGTTCTGCTGATGGAATGTCCTTGAGGCAGCCCAACCACTGTGCAACATTCCCTCACAGACAATGAAGGAGTAAGTCCTCGGTCCACTTAGACTGCCAGGGCATCTGACCTTAGGAGGGATGGGCTCCCTAACAGCCTGGGGCATGGCTAACAGTCTGGGATGAATAAGATGTAATTTTGTATTCAACAAACCTGTTACATATTCATCTCCAAATGTGCCTGGAATCAAACCAGGCCATCTGAAGTCAGCATCCCCCTGGTCGTTCTATCCTTCACCCCGGCTTCACTTTTCAGATCTGACACATTTCCATTCCCCTCTGAACTTGCAATCTCCGGGCCTCTCAGGGAGGAGACATTTCCATCCCTTCCATTCTCAATCCTCTGATCGCTTGGAGATGAGGCGATTCTATTTTCAGTGCACTGATTTAAGAAATACTGATAGGAAAAAATAAATATCTGGTGTGGCTTCCCACCTTCTGAAGACAAATCTCGGCTGTTCTAGGACATCGATTAAAGTGATTGGGTGTCTGCTTTTAAAGTTAAGGCACTTCCCTAGCCAGTCAGTCAATTTTGGCTGTTGGGGTCATGTACCAGGGACCTATTCATTAGAGAGTCCAGCAATGGCGGTGCTTTCTTTCTCAAGCCGGAAGCCCCATTGTTCCACCCCGGGTTGAGAAACCGTATCTCATACCTCGCCGTCCATGAGTGCCGCTGGCGTCCTCTTCTAAGTCATGGTCGTCATCTGAGGGGACAAATGATCAGCATTAGCCATCAGGGTGGGGGGTTCGGTCTTCATGCTCTTCCTTTTGAGGGGTGACCTTTCTCTGAGTTCATTGACCTCCTCCCCTTTCTTGTGTTTTAAAGCAGGGGCTTGCTATGGAGCCCAGGCTAGCTTTGAACTCATGATCTCCCTACCTGAGCCTCTGTCTCAAGAGCTGGGATTACAGGTATGTGCTATCATGTCTACTTAGGGAACTCTCTCCTTTCAAGGAAGTCTCATTAACATGTTTTCTTCTTCTTTCCCCTCCCCAATCATCCCTCACCTTCAGATCGGCCATCTTCTCTTTCCCTTTCTATTCATTATT